GGCGTGTGGCACCGCTGTCAAGTCAGTACGCATATCCATAAGTGTGTGAGTGAAGATTTACTCTGGCACAACACCGGTCAGATGAAAGACAAGCAGAAGTACTTGCTTTATGAGTTTGACCTTACACGCTGCGAGGGCAGACAGGCAGGTTGTGCTTTGATTTGAGTCTTTTGGACAACAGATTCATATGCCATCATTAGTGCATTTATATAGTTGTATGTATGTACTGTATGTGTGTTCACCTATCATTTTTCTTCGTTCTATTTTGTCTTCTCGCGAGAGGCATCCAGATATATAACCGGCTGATCCTCAATTTGTAGGATACAGTGATGATGTCCCTATGTGTAAAGTAGTTGGTAAGGTTTTGAGTCGAAAAGTGCACTGTAGTGAAACAATGAATGTGATCCTGATTGTGCATTACCACGCGTTTTCGCTGGAAGCAGTCATGAAAGAAAGGCATCGATATTCGCAACTGGTGAAAACTGCAACTACCCTATTGGTGGCAGGATACATGCAATTCGTCACCATTGGACATGCCAAGTCTAACTTGCTTTTGAACTTGTAATAGCCACGGTCGAGGATTCTGCTGCGACCATCATTAAAGTCTCCTCACCAACCTCAAGCAGATCTGGAGTTTTGAGAAGATTGTACAAGTGATCCAGGTTTGATACTTCGCTTTGCAAACAGACAGGGCACAGCAAGCAATGGTCTCATCTCACCTGAGCTGATCTTATCTCCCCTGATTTCCTGTGATCTCATATCCTTTCTCACCTCCTTGCCACTTCACCTGGCCCCGCAGGCAGCATTCAATTGTGTGTCGCAATTGCTTGCCCGCTGGCTGTTGCTGACTGTCCACATAGTGCCTTGTGCTCTGGATCTGGCTTTTTGATATGTTGTCTGCCACTTGGGTCGCTTGGGTCATCAGTGCCACTCGATCATTTGGCACAGTCATGCGAACCCAACCGACCCAAGCGGTCAAAGATCACGGGCGACATTTCGCTCCGCCTCAAGTAGTGCTTCCGTTGTTTCAGGCGTTTTTCACATCAACTGCGGACGCCTCATTCCAGTTCCTGTCCTAGATCACAATTCCTTTTTAACGACCAGGAGACTCCTTTGCAGCATGTTTTTTCCCCCGAGGCTTTATGACTTCTAAAAGGAGCCTGCTTTGGTGTGATGGGACTTGGCTAGGGTTTATGTCATGATCTGGGCCAGAAGTAGGCCGAGGCGGCGCAGGCAGCTCACTTCTCCCACATCTTCACACACCGCCGGCATTGGCATGTAGAGTTTTGGTACAGTGGACAGGCCTTTCATTCACACTACGCGTGCATGGATCTACCTATTGATGAGTCGCGCAGGCTGAATCTATGCTCCTGCCACTGAGCTTTGGTCACGCAGCTAATAGGCCTTATGATGTGTTATTGGGTTTGGAGAGTTGATCTCCAGACGTGCCCCTTCAACCTCCTGGCAGAGTGTGTTGTTGAATGGAGCCAGGGATATTGGATTCGCTTTGATTACAGGTAACGCTTCTAGAAAGGGTTCGTGCCGTATGTCAACACTGAGCTATTATTGTCACCTTGGGCAATTTTTAAAGGTTTGATTTGTTCTGCTTCTTAAAGACCGCGGAGGGAGCCTGCCACCTTGATGAAGCTCACGAATTTTCAATGCATCCATCGACTGCAAACCGCAAACCGTGTCTCTACCCCACTGCCGTGCTAACTGCGTTTGGTCTTGCTGTCCCAATCAAGAGCTTCATATTCACAAGCATTGCCATTCTTTGTGATGTTCTGCCAAGCGACAGCGCATTGGAGCTTGGCGTTCCCGACTGGCTTTCATCATGCTTTACTTGCTTCGCGGGAAAGAAGAGATTGGCACAATGAGGCTTATTGGGGCCACTTGCTTCATAGACTGCTAAAGCTCCCAGCTGGTCTTTGGAAATGTTCCCGGTAGCCCGCAAGAAATTGGGCTTGTCTGTTGTTGGGTGCCATTTGCCACTTCTGTGACAGGTCCCCGCAAAAAGGTGGCGGATGTGGTAACACGACTTGCAGTCTCAGCTGTGCTAAGAAAACAGGCCCCTCGTTACATCGTAACAGGTACCGGGGGATATGGGAATCAACAACTAGTGGAAGATACCCAAATACAGGACACTAAGGAAGCTAAACGAGGAAACGTGATCTCCGTGAACACAAATTCTGAATTACATGAGACGGACAGGGAGAAGCGCGCGGAAGGTCTGTTTAAGCCACAGAAGCACGTCAATACGTGAAAGGCACAAACTCGCTAATCCGGAACACGATGTCGGAGTGTCTAGCTCGAAATTTCCATCAAACTTTGTGAGGTTCAGGAAGAGAATTAAACATGGATGTATGCGACAAATCAGGGGCAATTGGAAAAGCATTTGGTAGGTTATGTGATGTGGGTTATGTGGGAGGGACATTTGGTAGTGGTAACGGCCTAAGGCTTTCATAGTATCCTCCCCATTTGGCACACCAGGGCCGGAATATAAGGATGCCTGAGGTTTGGTTTGATTGAAAGCCCAGCACCTGTTTATCGTTTTTTGGGAACATATCTGTTTTAGTCAATGGTGCAAGATGCTTGACAATGATACGAAAAGTCTCCGCCTGTTTTGTAAAGATCTGTGCTGCGGAGGAAGAATGCTAATGTCTGGATGATAAATGGGTTTGGCTTCATCTTCGACATTGGATGTGGTGGGGATTGGGACACGGCTCAATTCCGAACATGATTGCAGTCTCTGCGTCGGATGTGTGCAATGCTCATTGTGCAGGACAGGCATCCGAGTTTTCTTCGAACAAAGGTTGATTGACAACGCACAATGCAGTTTGCGCAGCCGGACGGGTGGTGGCCTACTTGGCTGTGGGAGATGATGACGGCGCATTTTTGCAGGGTTTCTTCTTTGGGATGTTGCAAGCACCTTATGTCTGCTGTATGTGGCGGACCCCCTTTTTGAACAGCTGTTTTATGGAGAGTGCATATGTTCTGGAATCTTAGGGGGCCATTCTCAGTTGAAGCACGTCGCACGTGTTTACCTGTGATAGTCACGGGGCTCGTTACAAACAACTGTTTGCTCTCAAGAGCGAGCGCTCTCGTGGATGAACGGCCGCAGGTGTTTGGTACCAATGGAAAAATCTGTCAGAGGTGCCTGGACTGTGCCAGTGTGTTTGCAGTGCAATGATGTATATATATATATATATATATGTTATGTTATGTTACTCTCTTGAAAAATAACGTGGCCCTGTAAAGTGATTTTTTTGTTTTTTTGATTATATATGTTAGTGGAAGGGGCTCTAAGGGTACAAGTGGTACGTAAGTGTGAGGAGGATATGTTAGCACTTTTCTGGACGGATATCTGGTGGATATCTTTGTTGCATTCTTCTGAAAATAACGTAACCTTGTAATTTGGAATTTGTTGGTGTGGAACATGTTAGTGGAAAGGGCTTCACAGGCTTACAAGTGGTGTGTGTGCGCCGGATATGTGAGCACTGTGAGCACTTGTTCTGGAGGGATATCTTCGCAAGTTTTGTGGACGTGAGACAGCTTGGCTCCAGAGTTTTCTTTTTTTTCTGGAGCACAACTGCCATGCTGCCGAACGGGCAGCCCTACGTAACCACTTGGCCTTCCCAGCGGAGCTCTGTCAAGCTCCGGGCTGCAGTGACTGTGCATTTGGTGTGGAGCACAGGAAGGGCACTAACATAGCCCGCTAGATTGAGCATGGAGTTTGCCAATAGTACAGGAAAGGACTAACATAGCCCTCTAGATTGAGCATGGAGTGTGCCAATAGCACAGGAATGCGCTAACATAGCCCTCTAAATTGAGCATGGAGTTGCCCAATGCGCACCCAGAATGGCAACATTCGTAGTCGCCCCAGACCAGGTTAGCAGTGTTTTTGGAAACTACCTCAAAGCAAAAGTTACATGCAATTCCCCAGGAAACACCGGAGAAGGCTTGGATATGTTAGTTGGGGTCCTCACTGCTGCCAGGGATACGCTATTTTTGGGGAGTGTATCTCATGTTATCTTATGTCATGTAATGGTATAGTATGGTATGGCAATGTATGTATGGTATGTATGTAAGTAAGTATGTAAGTATGTATATAAGTATGCATGCATGTATGTAAGTATGTAATGTATGTAATGCATGTATGTAATGTAATGTAATGTAATGTAATGTAATGTAATGTAATGCAATGCAATGCAATGCAATGCAATGCAATGCAATGCAATGTATGTATGTGTGAAATGTATGTATGTATGCATGCAAGTATGCAAGTATGTAAGTATGTATGTAAGTAAGTAAGTATGTATGTATTTTTTCCTAAAGTGTCTTTTACTGCATGAACGGTTTGGCTCTAAGTATGTTAAAAAATCCTAAAGAGGATCCTTTTCAGTTGAACGAGCCGCTGCATGCCTCGGCTGCCCGCTGCTTGCAGTGTTGCGTTCCACGGCTGCCCGCTACTTGCTGGTTCTAGAAGTAGTCCACCATGACTGTTTGGTCGTCTTCTTGGGACTCTTCTTCGCCGTACTCTTCAGCTGGCATGAGCTGGTGGTGCGTGGAGGTCAATCTCCTGAGGCCTGTGGTCAGCCTGTGTGTCTGCTCCTGCTTTGGGGCTGGGTGTCATGGCCTTTGCAGGAGTGTGGCTGTCCGCTGGATCCCCGTCTGGGAGTGGGTTTCTGGGTCCTCCCTGGCTGGCTGGTTGCAGTGGCAGCAACTGCCAGTGGGCTGTGTTGGGAAATACCGTCTTGGGTCTGCAGTGGCGGTGATCCCTTAAGCCCTGCTCCTTTGCACTCCTTGTGGTGGGCGGTAGTGCTCATGATGCGTTGTTGGCTGTCGAGGTGACATACTCTTGGAATGCCGCTGCATTGACCCGTTTGTGGATGCTGGTGCCACACTTGGTGCATTTGAGGTATCAAAGCAGTGTTGGTCTTTGCCAGGTGGCTGGAGATCCTGGTTGTGCAGGATGGCCTTTATGTTCTGGGCCCTGGTTGGCTTCTTGGTGGGTGGTGGGGCTTCTTGTCCTGGTGCTGGACAAACTTGGTCGGCCTGTAGCTGTGGACAGGCCTCATTGAGTCTGGCCTCCAGGACTGGGGTGGTCAGTCTTCGTGCGTGCGTGCTCCGCAGCCGCTGCAATGATAGCCGCTGCGGTGTGATTGGGTTGCCACGGTTTGGTGCACTGTTGCACCAGGTCCTTCTTGTGCTGTTTGGTTTGCTTACCCTGCTGTCTGGGTGCCTTGCAGTGGATGTAGCGCTGCTTGTCATCAAAGATCTTCTCCAGCCTTTGGACCGCGTGGGTGTAGATGCGTTTGTGGTCTTGGTCCAGTGTTTTTTGCCACTCGGTGAGCTTGCGGTCATGCAGCATTGGCTCTCTCCCATGCAGTCAGGGCCGCATCCCTTTGTCTTCTGCGTAGCTGGGGCTCATTGCCAGGCGCCTCAGAGATTCTGGTGTTCCGGCTGATGTAGAGGACAGTGATGCGTTTCCTGTCCTGCTCAGTGACGTTGTCTAAGAGGTTTGGTATTGGTGTTGATGCGGACTCTTGTGCCGTGCTTCCCATACAGAGCTGAGCTGGATGATCACCTTGACTTGTGTCCTCTAAGTGTGTATGTATGTATGCATGCATGCATGTATGTAGGTAGGTATGTATGTATGTATGTACGTATGTATGTATGTAATGTAATGTAATGTAACGCAATGTAATGCAATGTAACGTAATGTAATTTAGTGTAAATGTAATGTAATGGTATTTATGTATGTATGTATGTATGTACGGATGGATGGATGGGTGGATGGAGGGATGGTCACGTTCTGATGCTGATACTGGCCAAGATTCACAATCGTTGTGCCCCATTGGGGAAGACGGCTGATCCCCTCAGGAAAATTGCTCTCCAGTGTCAGGGGAGAAAAATCAGCCTTATAATTGGTTGAGGAGTTGGTGTCACTCCTGGAGCCACGTAGGTGCCGCCTTCATAGCCCGGGATATCTCCTTCATACTGAATCTTGTAGCCAGCGAGGGCTTCAGACGAAGAAGGAAAAGATGCACCCGGAGCACTCTTGAAAGCACGCTTGGTGTTCTTGGATTCGAGCTCACTCAACTCACGGCGTTTGACAGCGTTGGTCATAGCGCCGCCCTGAGAAATAATCACTCTCTGAAAGGCGAGGGCTTACACCAGAGCAGCTGGCCTCAATCGCACCGTGAAGTGTCTCTGCACTCACGCCACTCGCTTGGGCTCGGCCATCAATTGCTCTTGCTCCTTCGGGGAAAAAGACATGATGGCAAATCACACAAATTGAAGACTATTGAGAGTCTTTCACAAAAGCTTTGAGCGCCGAAAACAAACTGCAAGGATACATGGACTATGAAGACAAATTTCGTGAAACTACAAAAAGAACGGTGAAGACAAAGCGGCTAAGGCTGTCCGCACAAATGTTCAAGACTCGAACAGGCAGAGTGCTACCGCTTGTGGTTACCCATACCTTAGTTTAGGCTTTTCACTCACTGGTATGGTTCCCCATGGGACCTCTCTCGTCGGACTGCCCTGTGTCTCGGTTTTTCTGGCGGCAATCACGTTCTGCAGCCTGTTGAGCCAACGCATAGTTCTCAGGCGAGATCTGATATGAGGACGATCTGATGCAGGAACGAAGCAAGTCCATAGGGTCCTGTTTATCCTTAGTCAAACCGTCAAACCATGAGCTATCATGCGGTCGGTTGGGAGCCAACGCACGGAGGCCTGAGTCAATTTGAGTGACTCTCTTATGATCACTATGTCGATGCTTGTACGGCGATCTTCAACAGCGGTTGGAGAAGAGGGAGAGATCAAGTGATCAAACAAGGACTTTATACAATCAGTAGCTAGGATGGGAGGCCTACGAGAAAGCATCTCTCGTCCGGCTCTTGGTTCAAATGAGCCATCTAAGGTCTCGCGCGTGAGAAGGCTGACCCATTCTACGGAGTGGAAACATGTGCCCTAACTGAGGCCTGCGACAAATCATACCCTGTGATGAGATCATATGAGTCACACCTACCACCAACACCGGTCACTAGAGGTGCAAATCTCGGTGGGCAAAACACTTCTGCTACGTGCAGCTGTCCTGATTCCGCCTGAACTGGATTGAGGGGGTTGTCAGAACGTTTCTCTAACTGGCGGACTTGAGACTTCAGTTGACGGACGTAATGCGTGGGGAGGCTGTCAAGCGTGGAAGAAATCTCCTGAGGCCGAAACCAGAATTCAGTGCGAATGTGCCAAAAGTCCGACGGCCCCGGATGGTGATAACATGCTTTTCCTTTTTGTGGGTTGATGTCCTCATCGAACAAAACAGTCTCTGAACTCTCATCTATGACTCGGCGTCGAACAACAGAGTGCCACAAGGGTCCTTGTTTAGTGGGGTTTGTTTGACAAACGAATCCCTTCGAACCCAGCACTGAAGTGAGTCAGACGTGCCTGAGTCAGCAGGTTGGGGTTGTGCAGCCGGAGGTTCCGATGACTCCTCTTCCAGGCAGGAGACGGTCCTCTTCGACCCGCGAGGGTTATGACTCTGGAGCCTGAGTGCTGCGCATGACTTCCTGTTCGAAGTCGGGTCGATCCGAAGTGCCAACCACCTTCACTGCGAATTGACCTGCTTCGTTTGTCACCCATGGCACTGACGCACGGTTGTCAAACAATGTCAACTGTTGCTTGCCAAAGTCAATGACTGCTTTCAATGTCTCTAAGGCGTTGCGAGAAACCAAAGACGGTGCTTGACCCTTCACAATGGCAGTCCGAATAGTACCCTTCTTTCCTCCCAAGGTAACTGGGAGGCGAATCACTTCAGGGTCCTCCGGCAAGGGATCACGACCGACAATGGACCGACCACAACCGGAGTCCAAAACTCCGTAACGGACTGACCAGCACGATTTCTGGAGAAGGCAATGCACTACGTCGCTCACGCACAACTGCTAATGGAGAGAGGGTGTCACTGCAGATACCAGCCATAGCCACGAAGTCAACATCTCCTCTGGAAGGGGCTGGTGCTCAACTGTTGTCGCCAAGGCAGCGCCGGTTTCCTTCCTGGGCTGAGTGCTGGAGGTTGCTCCTCGATTGGAACTTGAGGATGTTGTGCGAGGTAACGTGCATTCACGAGACCAGTGTCCGACATTTCCGCAGCG